TTGAATCTGTTGATTATGTTGAATCTCTGCATGTAGAGATGGTTAAATTATCAGAGAAATGCTCTCTCTCTTTCCCTGTCTCTCTCTTTCAACATCACTATATTAGTGATTAAGAAGGCTTTAAGAAGGCTTCCATGTGAAATGTCACTCCTTTCAGGGACAGAGGGCCCATCCTTGGCATGAGTTACACAAACATTTGTAGCAATGGGTTGCTGCTTGTGCACGGTGCTTCATAGGGGCTGCTCATCATACAATACCTGAGATGTGTGGGAAACACAATTTGACATCCATAGTTTCTTATTCACTGTCTCCTTCTGCAGTAGCCAGCTGGAGACTCACACAGTATGAATAATTAACCTGAGTAGTTTACAAATAACCTAGAGGCAAAATCTGTTTTTAATAAGTGGCTTGAAAAGGACGTTAAATTTACCAGAGAAAAGGCAGTGCCCAGGTAGCTCACAGGTAGAAAGCTGAAGCAGGACTCGGCAGATAGTCTAAATAATGACAAGCAGGGACTCCCCAGTAACTGTCTGAGCCTGTTACCCCTCGTGCTTCTTCTTAAGGAGTTCTGCTCACCTGTACATTTGCAGCAGAAGGTGCTGTAGCTGTTAACATTTAAGAGTGCTGTTTAAACCAGATTGCTTTTTACAGTGCCAGAGGAGTCAGATGAAGCTGCTCAGGGAGCACCCAGCAGCACCCCGTTGGTGTGCCTGGAAGGAGCAATTCCCAACCTCCAGGGCAGGTCTCTGGTGACAGCCAGGGTTTCTCAGGGCTATGGAGCCCTCTCCCTGTGCCTGCCTTTGGTATCCATTGCTGCTCTGAGCCACGGGTACTGCAGGGCCTGCAGGTAAAAGGAGCACACAAAGAGCAGAGTTATCCTCATTAAAACAAAAAACAGTCACTTCATAATCAATAGCAAATACTGTTTTAAGGGATGCCCATTTTTAACTGAAAGCAGAGCAGTCGAGGGAAGAGGCTCAGTCATCTCTATTTCTGCAGCTACAGCAAAAGGAGCCAGTGCAGCTCTGTGAGGCAGGCCTTGCATATGCATTTTTGGCACAGCCTGGGGCAAGAATCCCCGAATGGCTGCGTGTGCATCGCTGCTAGTGTGCACAGACACCTCCGAGTGGGAGATGATGCAGCACAGAACCAGGACCTGTTATCACCGACTGTGCTGAAAAAGTGTGGGAATCTCTAAACACAGAATTTCTCTTAGTTTTCCATTCCAAACACTTGCATAACAATTTCTGGGGTAGCGTGTGGGGACTCATTTGACTCGTTTCCTCTGCATTCATTCCACTGTACTTTATGTTGTGCAAAACTTTTCAAGGTTTGGCTATTCCACAATTCATAGATCACCTACCTGAATAGTGATATCACTGGAAGTCTGTGGTGAAATCACCGTTCATTTGGTTGTTTTTTTTCAGGCATATTACTGCATAAATAATATGTTCGCATGGTACAGAGTTGATGGTTTATGTTTCTCATGTTTTCAGTAGAGTGAGTCAGGAAGCAGCTGGAAGCTGTTCTCACAGTTCTGCCAAAAAATGGTACTTGGAGCAAAAAGCCACACTGGTTGTCTCAGTGCACAAGTGATGCCCCGTTCACTGGGGCCAGAGCAGTTCGGTGTGTGGCCGCGGTCTTCCCCAACAGCCCCTTGTGTTCATGTCTTTAGCTTTAAAAGCTCATAGTCTCCTTGCATGTGTCTTTGGAGGATTCACTACATTAAGATTTCATTTATTGATGCTGCTGGAATATAAATTAACGCTTTAGAGAGTGATTTTTACAGTTACTAAACTGACAGGATTTATGGGAAATATGGCATATGGAGATGAATTTGTGGCTTTATTCTTCTTTCTTTTTCCCCCTGCTTTTACAGCAGTTCTAGTTTTGGTCTGTTGCAATTTCATACCCTCCCTATCAGTCCACGCCTGAAGGTTCCCGTTTGCAGAGCACGCTGTGTCTCCGCGCTCCCGCCCCGGCTGCCCTGACAGCATGCACAGAGTCACTGGAGGGGCTGGTGTGCTGGTTCTTTGGCTTTGCCTTCCCTAATGTGGTTTCATGAACCTCAGAAGGAGGGCCAAGTTAACATTTGTAACACAAGCATTTAAATAGCTAACATTTAAAAAACTTGCCTTTGTTTAATAGAAATCACCTTTAATAAGACTGAGCTATAAAGCGCTACAGCACTTCTGTATAATGCAGTGCACTTACACATCTGGTAACTGTAAAAGCAAAGCTCCAGTGATTTTTCACTGTTATCAGAAACCTGACATGGGTAAAGCTTCAGTCAGGATTTTATTAATTGTATGTGTCTCTCTTAATTTTTTTCTGTATGTCTTTTAAAAACATTGGTGTAGTTGTGTAAGAAACCAGGAGATAAATAGCTATGGGTTACCTGAGTTGCTTTTTCTTTAATGACATTTGTGTATCAGTATTTTTCGGATGGGGGTGAGGACAACAGCGTCCAGCAGCACCCACTTGAACCGTGTCACTCTGTTGATTTTCAGCATTTGGATTTTTTCAGGTAGATTTTAGGAAAGTTGTTTTGACTGCTGGAGATGTATGAGTGAATATTGCTGTTCGTGAGACTGGAGCTGGGAGTGTTGTGTTTTGTCATCTGACTAGTGCTTTTGTGGTGGTTCCTTAGCATCCAGAGAACCTCTATAATCAGAAAATCCATTACAATAATATAACTGCGTTTTTATGCTGAGAATGTCCTTTTCTTGCGTGCTTTTCTCGCCGCTGAGCTGCGTTACTCTGAAGACATGACAACTGAGTACAGGACACTGAGGTTAGCTGTATGTGACATTGATCTGGCAGAGCTACTGCTTGAGATTTTCCAGCAGCCAACTAAAAAGTCAGCAGGATACCAAATGTGGTAATGACAGTTGCAAAGTCATGGTTAAACCTGTCCAAGATAATGGTTTTCTCACCTTCTTCAGGGTTGTCTGTAGATGTTTGTTGCTTGCCGTATTTATGCTGTCCGTCTTCTGACTGAATCCGGGACATTTTTGCAAAATGTGGAGCTGCCAGCCCACGAAATCCCTGCTGCCTGTTAGCGCAGCGCCCCTCGGTGCTTCTGGACAACGGCCGGGTCACCTCCTTCCCTCTTGACACAGAGTGCCTGATTGGCCCACCATGTGTTGTGAAGCCTATTCCTTCTCCAGAAAGTACTTCTGTTAATGTTATTATTATTTATGGGTATACTACACATAAGTGGAAGTTCAGAGGGATCCAATTCTGTAATTCTGGTCAGTTCCTGACAGGTATTTGTAGTGAAGGGCAGACTGCAGCATTGGGTGATCGGGCCATGGACCTCTGACTCAGGCTGCATGTACTCAGCACTTGCTTGCGTGCTTTTTGTGGAACCCTATAACATGCTTAGATATTCCAGCAAACAAATAGCAAGGGAAAAACACTGCCCTGCAGATCTCTCGGTCTGTTTGGGATGCAGCAGGAGGAGAGGCAGCTCATAAGCTAGAGCAGGACATAGAGAGCAAGACAGGGTAAGCAGGGACCAGGGACTAGGTAAGTGACACTGCATTTTTTTAGGATTTTTCTCCTGTGATTTGTTTTCATACCTCGCAATTATGCCCATAGCTGGACTGGGTGCATTTCAGCAGCACCCCAGAAACCTGGAGGAGAATCAGGAAGGGAAGGTAGGATAGGGAAAGGAGAGCATAGAGGATGTTGTCAGGAAGACTAGAAAGTACTGTCAGAAGGAAATGTGTAGAGCAACAGAGAGATGAACACCTCAGTTTTCAATTCTGTGTCTCAGATTGTTTTTACTATCTCTAATCTTAATCGAAGCACTTGCAAAAAAAAGAACTGTAAAAAAAAACAAGTGAGGGAGTGAGCAAGCATTAGCCCTAAAGCTGTGAAGTCAGGCCCAAATCCGTCCTGCAGCCCCCGCACAATTGGACATTGCAGTGTGAGGGGGAAATCCCACAACGGGCAGAGCTGTAAGTCAGGCTGCTGTTGACAGGGGGAAGAGGCATAGCTATATTTAACGGAAGTGTTTTCTTTTGAGAGCCGCTCGCTTTTTTCTGGGTTTTTTTCCTGTTTTCTCGTCTCGTCGGTGGAGGCTGCGAGGGCTCTTCCTGTTAGAGAGAGCGCATGGGTGGTTTCCCCAAGGCTTTTAATGTTAGATTAATGCTCTGAAGACAGCGTGGTGATAAATGGGTTCCTACAGTTGTATCTACATCCTGTCCTCCCTTCCCCCGGCGTGCGCCGGTACGTACAGCCGGCGTGCAGCGCTGGCCTCCGCATCCAGCGCCCCCGCGCTGGAGACACCTCGCTCTCCCTGACACATGCCTGCCAAGCACCTGCCATTCGGGATGCCCTCGGCTTTCAATAGCGGTAATAGCAACCTGCTGTTTCTGGGACGATGACAGAAAACGAAACGGGGAGCAGAGGAGCTGATCATTGAAAGGAGACTGAAAGAGGGGTCGGGGAGCTGGCTGGCCGCCTGCTGCGCGGCACGGCACAGCATGGCGTGGCCGCTCCCGCTCCCGCTTCCAGAAGGGAGGTGTGCGGGAGCGGCCCGTCTGGCTGGCGCGTCGTGCCCAGTGGCCGAGCTGCCCCTGCCACCTTGCTCCCGTGGGAGCAGGGATTCGAAGCCTCATCCCGTGAGGGAAGGGCTCCCTGTGCGAGCCACAGCCCAGCTCTGCCTCCACACAGCTTGGATGGGGACTTAAGGATGCGGCTTCAGGAAACACTGATGGAAAGTGAAGATTTGAGTCATTCTGGGGGGGACTCGAGGCCCTTGGGGTGCATTTGCGCTGCGGTGCGGCTTCGCTGGGGTGCCCGGGGAGGAGGATGGCAGTGGAGGACGGCTCCCTCCCGCCTTGTGGGCTCCCCATGTCCGGCCTGCCCCGCTCCCCTCGCTGCCCGGCGTCCCGCAGGCCGCGCAGCCAGCGGCCTCGCCCGGAGCCGCGGAGCCGCCTGTGCCGGCGCGCTGCGCCCCCCGCCTCACGGCTTCCTCTGCCTGCTTGCAGGTTTCTCCCACTCGGCCTTCACGTTCGGCATCGAGAGCCACATCAGCCAGTCCAACATCAACGGAACGCTAGTGCCACCTGCCGCACTCATCTCCATCCTCCAGAAGGGGCTCCAGTATGTGGAGGCCGAGATCAGCATCAACGAGGTAGGTGCCCCGCGGGGCGCCCCGCAGCACGGGTGTCCCCAGCCTCGTCCTCGGCCCTCTTCTGCCCCAGCCCCGGCAGAAGCCTCAAAAGCTCTGTGTGTATGCAGAGATACACAGATAGATACATACACACACACATACACACATACATACATATGTTTCAATTTTTAGCCATGGGTTTGAGGGCTTCTTGGCATCGCTTAGGTGGATTTTGTCCTGCTGATGAAGTCAACACAGCACAAGTGCACAGACTCTAGCAGCAAACCAAAGAAGTGTGTGTGTGTGTGTGTGTGTGTGTGTGTGTGTGTGTGTTTAGTGGGCTTTAGCCTGGTGTTCTCAGGGTCACGGCAGGATTCGACAGGAAAAGGCTGCAATGTGGGTTAAAGCTTCAACCCTCCTTGGCTCCGTTAGAAGCCAGTATTACACACAAGTGCTGGTGAGCTGATCTAAAGGCCGAAGAAGTCACTGGAAAGATTTTTGGTTTCAGTGGCTTTGGCTCAGACCGTATAAAGACCAGGCATCATCCCATCATGTACACAGGGAAGGGACAATGAAAGCCGCTAGTTGTCTATATGGATTGTATAAACAGCCAGCAAAGTGCCCCTGCTCTCATATTGGACTGCATGGGGAAATGGAGTATATAGCAAAAGCCGGTGGTTTTGCCCTGTTGACCCTAAAAGCCTGTTGCTTCAAGGGGCAGTGAAGCCTGACAGGTAAGCAGGTGCTGCATTGCAAAAGATTTGCTATAGATGTTTGTAACTGTCAGAGAAATAATAATCATCTATATTTCATCTATAGCTCAATGTAGTATGTGAAAAACAGGGGTGAGAACAAAGGAATGTAAAAAAAGAAATTATGTTTGTGATGCATGATTGGAAAACTCACTTGGTTTTATCAATAACATTCTGTGTAGTTTTCTTTTTAAGACCTTATATCACGTTTAAGGGTTGTGTATATGTCATTTCTTAATTGGAGCAATGACATTTGACAGTCATGCCAAGCTGCACTTTGATGCAGTTGTAATAACAAACCACTGTTGGGAATCTGTCTCAATTTGCTGCTACTTAACATTTTGCCCTATGCTTGAAATCGGATCTATGCAGTTAGATACTTCCACCCACAAGCAACAAGTTCAGGTTGTAGGAGAGTCATATGGATCTACTCCTATGAATCCCACTTGGGGATTCAGAGCTCGCCTCCGTCAGGAAATGATCTAAAGATGCATATGCTGGCACTGTTAAGATTCGTGGTGCTCATAGCGGTTTGATTCTGTTCAGTTACACACTCACTAAACATGTTAGAGCAAAACAAGTCATTTGTTTTGGAGTCCAGTCCCCAGTAGTAGCTACATACATGCTTTTGTATGTGCATGGCCTGCAAGTGTAATCAGAGCGTTTCCAAACCCATGTTTATGAAATGGAAGAATTGTTCATGAACCACAGAAAGGCAGTGAGGTGCATGTTCTAGTGAGCAATCTCACAGTTAAAAATTGAAGATGTCAGAAATTCATTGGAAAACATTTTTCACACTGTGTAACAAGGACTTGAGCCAGTTTTCAAATAAATGTGTGTAGAGACATTTACATTAAAAATGTTGAGGGGGAAGAGTGCCTATATTTGTCTCTTCTAATGACTCTTTCCCTTTTTATCTTCCCCATGAGGAAACAAGTATGTATTATCTTAACATTTTCATTGTGAGGAATAATTCAATGAATAGTTCTACAGAAGCATATTAGCCAGCCAAATTACTATTTCTCTGTATTAGTTACTGTCATGCATTAAAAGTGGAACTCTTTCCCAGCTGCTTCGTCTATCCATATTCTAACTAATACTCCTGAACCCCTAAACTTCCACTGCTGGGTCTTGTTTATTTCAAATAAATAATTGGAGTTTGAAAGAGATCTTAAAAATGATCCTTACTGAGACTACAAAACCTTTGCTCCATATTTAAGATAATGGGAAAGTTAAAGTGAGGCTAAGTAGATACAGCAGTTGTTGACCTGCGTTTGTATGAAGTCTGAAGAAATAGTACTTAAAGCACTTAAAGGTTAATTCAGTTGATGGTTATCCATGAAGCCTAATTAGTGAAAATCTAATTCTGAGTCCTGTCTACAAAGAAAAATACAAAAAAAAAAAGAGAGAGAAAACTGTAGCATAGCCATAAAATGAGCTACAACTGGTGACACTGGACTGGTGAATGCAAACCTCTGAATTTGTGCATACATCCTGTTTTGTCTGAGGTTCATTATTCATCTACCACTTCCATTCAAATGTCACTGCTCATGCAATAAGACAAGCAATTCAACCAAGGTCTATTTCTCAGTTTTAGCCATGACTCATTGTTTCAAAGTACCAAATAAACAGAAACTTTCTGTCATCATTCAGACGATCTGATTTTCACAGCATATTTTCTTTTGCATCTCTAAATAGCTTCCATGCCTGACTTACAAAAAATGCCATGAATTATCTGTTCACAGAACAGATTTCTAGGTTGGCCATGATCACCACCCTAGTGCATGTGAGAGAGGGATGGACCACAGAAGTGCAGCCCCATAGGTTAAGTCAAGGTGCAGTATCTCCACCCCAGCCGCTTGAGCTTCTCCTTAGGGTCACCTCTTGGCATTCCGCAGCCACGGCGAAGATCCGGGACCTGCCCATTTTACGCTGCTCCTTCTCCCCTCAGGATGGCACCGTGTTCGACGGGAGGCCAATAGAGTCGCTGTCTCTGATAGACGCCGTCATGCCCGACGTGGTGCAGACCCGGCAGCAGGCGTTCAGAGAGAAGCTAGCCCAGCAGCAGGCCAGCGCCGCCGCCGCCGCGGCCACCGCCGCGGCCGCCGCCGGAGCCACCACCACTGCTGTCCCCCAGCAGAACACACCAAAGAACGGAGAAGCCACTGTGAACGGAGAGGAGAACGGGGCACATGCAATAAGTAAGCCGGCGCGTGCAGCTGCTTTCTGGTACTGGGGTCGGTACGGGTTTGAGTAGCGCCCTTGGAGCTGGCGGCCCCTGTGAGACGGGACGCAGGGGAGTCGCTCCTGGAGAGGGGCACAGTTTTGGAAGGCAGCGGAGTGAACTCTGGGCTCTCGGTTGCTGGGGCCTTCTCAGAATGCAGAAGCTTCAAAACTGCCGTCTCCTAAAAGTGCGCATTGAAGCTGGTGCCATGAAGTGGAGCTCTGTGCCGTTTCCTTTGAGCAAGCTGCCCGGACGTCATCAGTATGATCAGCTCTATAAGTGCTCTTAGACAAATGGAAAGAAAAATGTAGATAGTTGATAAAGATTAGGACAAACTATAGCTACAGTTCATTATTTTCACCAGACTGATGATTAAATTAATAGAAACTGGAAGGGAAATGGGCTAAGAGGTTGGTTTACAAGCCATATACGTGTTGGTAAATAAAACGTCCCCGAGCATTTGAACGCTGTCCTGTGATACCCAGGCCCTCATTAGCATGGTCCTTGGCACGCTTTGGCCTGTGCGTGCCAGCCATCTCAGTACAGAAAGGTCAAGCACAACAAGGAGGGCTCATGGCCACAAACTGTTCCCAGCAGACAGTTTAGATGCAGCCATCCTGCATTGCAAGCACAGCGGGCAGCATTCCTAACCTGTTTTACTTAAGTGTACCTGCTTAGGTGTATGAACCACTGTAAACATCTGAGTGAGTGCCAGCTTCCCTGGACTTCCCCTGGTCTGTGGGAAAAGTCAGAGTGCTCAGGAGCTCTGAATTCACCTCTGCTTGTTTATGACAGGGAGACACTGAGCTAGACACAGTTAGGCAAATAAAACAAGGGCTGCACATACCAGCGTGTGAAACTAAATCTTGATGGCTCTGTTGACATTGTGGAGTAGATATGATTAATGGTTCTAGTTTCTATGAGCAAACGGTGCTAGGGCACTGGCTGCCCTCTGAAATGAGAACTTAATCCCTGATTTCCCTCAAAAAAAATGCAGAAGAACGTGCTGGGCGGGTTTGGTGGGAAGCTCTTTGGCTTAGGCAAGCAGCAGGTCAGGGCTGAACCAGGGCAAAGGAGGGTGTTTGTTCTGCAGTGTGGGGAGCGTTATCAGCCTCCATCCTCTGCTCTGAACAGATTCCAATACAAGCCAGCCACAAAAATGCCATTTTTTTTCAGAGAACTCCAGTTTGACAGGATAGTTTTCCCCCGTAAAACTGCAGTGATTTAAATTACACTTTTATTTTGACAAAGTGATTTGAAGAAAGTTCTAAAATATTCCAAAGTATTGTCTCTTTCTAGACCACTACATGTTAAGTTTTACTTCAAAATTTTAATTCAAAACTCTTTTCTTTGACATCAAACTTATTTCCTATATAAAGGTATACAAACAGATTTGAAAACATCTTTAAATGTAACAAATTGGGACATTTTCTTTGCTGACCTTTCACTTTAGCTCCTTCATGAAACTTTGGGGGGAACCTCTTCCTGTATGAAGACAAAAAATTTTTAAAAAATGGTAAAAAAATGATTAGCAGATGGTCACTAGTGCAGCTCCCCTCAGAGTCGCTTCCTCCTGCTCTGGAGAAACTATTGTACTTAAAACGAGAGAAGAAAGCCTTGCAGAGCACTTGAGCTGCACGTGCACGCTCTGCGCCTCTGTGTCTCGGGTTTGCCACTGGCACCTTGGAAAACAGCGCCTGGAATTCTGCCCCTGGAGGGAGCCCTGCAGACAGCACCGAGAGCTCTGCCCCTCTCCACGCTTATCCGCACCCGCCGGAACAGCGAGGCTCGCACGGATCCAGCTGGCAGCTGACACCCGGGCCCGATGAACTTGCTTGCACTTTTAGTTCTCTCTTTTTTGGGTAAAAGTACAAAATATAGTTACATTTGTTAATTAGAGTGAGCCCTACCCTTCTTTTTCACCTTTTACCCTTGCTCGTGTTGCCCTACCTGCTCCCTTGTCGCTGTGTTCAGACGCTCTGTGTAGTGCAAGATAGAATAAGACAAAAAGTCCGAAAGAAAATGTAGGTTAGGACAAAACATTTTGGATAGGATAGGATAGGATAGGATAGGATAGGATAGGATAGGATAGGATAGGATAGGATAGGATAGGACTTAAGACGGCTAAGGTGGAAGCTGGGAGACCTGCTGGAGGTAAAGGGAGGCTGATAGGAAGGAGGTGAGAAGCTTCCCAAACCTTCATTTCCACTGTTGTCAGGATCCACAGAACGGGTGGGTGTCAATGGTGCCTTGAGCCTTAGCCATAACCGTAACTCCATAATAAGAAAATCACCCATATATCAGCCTGAATCCCCCAAAAAAGTCAGAAAAGGCAAAAGAACAAGGTATCTTTGGGAAGCTACCTAGTTTGCATTAACTCTGATATGCAGTTCTCCTGGGCTACCGTAAGCCTTCCAAAAAAGTGTTAATGTATTTGACATAAGAAGATAGAATATATTTTTATATGCAACATAATAAGATAGAATATATTTTTATATGTGCTGTATATAGTATAATTAATATAAGATAATAGGGGGATTTCTTCTTAAAAAAAAGAAATTCTAACTAAAGTAACAATTTGAGACACATATTTAAAAAAAATAAAAAATAAAATTGCTACCTTCCATTTCTGCTTCCTGGTAATGTTTTCAGCTTTAGGTCTACTAAAAACTTAATAATAAAAGAATCACCAGAAATAGAACCAGACTTGGGGGGTTTTTTTGTTTGTTTGTTTGTTTTTCCAGTTGTAATTTAGTTTCATTTATTTCATTTCATTTACAAAGATTGGCATGAGTTTAATAAGAACAAAATTCTGAGCACAAAAGAACTGAGCCCAGACGAAAAGGAAGGGAAAGGGAAAAGGGAAGGGGAAGGGAAAGGGAAAAGGAAAAGGAAAAAGAAAGGGAAAGGGAGGAATTCCTGAGAAAACTCAGGTTTAGATCTTAAAATAACTTTTTTTTTCTGATGTGGTAAAGAAGAAAAAAGCTTAAATCACTCACAAATATATTAAAAGCATAAAACCACTGGAAATTAATATTTGCATTCCTCCAAACTTTTATGAAGTTAAAAATAATATTAAAAATATTTTAAAATACTAGAGGGCAAAAAATAGAAGAGCATAGTATATTTTTAACCAGAAGGTCCTTGGCCTTTAGAAAATGGCTTGTATTAACGTTTCAGCATGGTCCTCTAATATGTGACCTGCTGCTTGTGTTTTCCACCTAAGAAAATGTGTTCCATTTGGAAGAACTGTCTTCTTTTGAAAGGATACTTTGTACAACTGAGATTTTAATCAAAAACAACTGACGTGAAAATACTTTTTAAAAAAAGGAGGTCCGGACTAGGATATCATCTTGTCCTGTAGCGTTTCTGCATTTTTTTGCTGGTAGTTATCAGATTTTTTTCATATTGCCAGTGTCCAGGTGACTCTGCAAAGAGCCTGAAGTCATATTGCAGGAGTAGGAACTGTCCCGTTTGATTAATTGGACATTTTAAATATTGTGCTTAGCAATAACCATCTAAATATGAATGTTGCTGACTGTTTAACTAGTGATGAAAACAGGAAGAAAATACCCATACTATGAAGATTTGCAAACAGTTTCTGGAAGACTCTTCATTTTTCTCTCTCTCTTATTCTGCACAATCGGAGCTATAGTATCAAAACGAGTTTTGGAAAATAACAGGAAAGAGTCGTGGAGGAGTTTGGTCAGTCCCCAAGGCACATCAGCCTTGCCAGACACCAGTGCAGCTATCAGCTGATCGAGGTTTCCTTTTCATAGCAAGATGTTTTTTTTCTTTTCAGCAGTTAATAACACTGAAAGTGTATTTAGGTTCTTCTATCCGGCCATGAGCAAAGGAAAAATTTCTAAGAATCGGATGGCCTTGCTCTGATAGCACCTCATAACTCTGGGACCTTGGAGTAATGCTGTTCTCCAGCCTTCATTTGATTTTACCCGAGAGGGATCAGCAGCTCTGCCTTTAGAGCCAGGCAGGTGACACTAGGATCGTATCTGGTAAGAGTAGCCTCATATAAGTTTTTCAGATTGAAGTACTTGAAAGATGCTACCTCTTAATTTGCCCGCCGTTTCCAACTCACACTGTGAGTAGAACACAGATGAATATATGACCATTACCAAGCTGCTGCTTTGCTCATCCAAGTGTGATGTGAAATAAGATTTTTCTCTTGTTTTTTGCTATGCTGCAAAACAGAAGACCGTGAGTTGTGGGCTCCTGTCTTCTGGTTGGTTTTGACAGTGTTTTGCTCTTCATTGCCCTCATTATGCAGAATAACATCTCAAGAGCTCCCACTTGTTACTGTCAGGCTAAATCTTGGGCATTAATATACCCTGACAGTACTCAGGATACTATCCATGTCAAGTTCACAGGTGGTAAGTGTAGTTAAAGTATAGATATTTTGATTGAGGAATGTGAATTATGAAACTACTGTTACCTGTTTCTTAATTTTAATACTCAAAACAATGCTGTGTAACTCAAGAACTTTGTGTGGACCAGTGGCAAGCTAGAGCGCAGAGAGAAGACACCATATGTAATAAGGTACCCCACAAAATCTGCTATTAGAAGTGTTATTTATGCAACTCAACATAAAAAGGGTAGAAAACTAAGGCTGAAATCTGGAGGTCTTCCTTCCAGTGGCAGCCAGGCACACTCTGTGCTTGATGGCAGCCCTTGCACTGTGTGGTTGATGGCAACCATTGCACTCTGTGCTTGATGGCAACCCTCACACTCAGAGGTTGATGGCAACCCTCACATTCTGTGCTTGATGGCAACCCTCACACTCAGAGGTTGATGGCAACCCTCACATTCTGTGCTTGATGGCAACCATCACACTCTGCAGTTGACAGCAACCATCACACTCTGCAGTTGATGGCAACCACCGCACTCTGCAATGATGCCAGTCATCACGCTCTGTTTTACCAGGGAGCGCGCTCAGCAGAGCCGGGGTATCGGGACAGATAGGGGGGTTAAATACTATAAACAGGGGCCAATAAAGGAGTATAATTATTTCACTTGTGAGCCTATGGATCTCCATGTGAAAGACTTAACCCAGCATAAGGACTCCGGTCCATCAGAGCCCATGAGCAGGCCAAGAGCCAGGGAGCTAAAAGCCTCCGTCAGCCCGGCCCGTGGCTGCTCTGGGCTGCGCGCTCCCCGCAGCAGCAGCACCGGCCGCGTGGTGGCTCAGGCTCCTGCCTGGCCTTGACTCGGGCCCCTCCACACAGGGTGATCATCTGGTGGTGCTGCCTGCCGGGAGGGGCTGCTCGAGCTGCAGGCAGATGATGAAGATTTATCCCGAGGCAATGAAAACATGGCTCGTGCTGCAAACTGGAATGAATTGCTGCCACTAAGAGAAATTCATCATTTTAAGTTTGCCTTTTATTTTTTTTTCCCCTTAAGGGATTACAAGAGCTTTGTAAAAAACAAAGTTACTTAGACTGCAGAGAAGCACCAAAATTGCAGTGTGCAGGTTAAATATACCTATGCATCAGTGGGATCTTTTGCCTATATCGTGATGCCCTTAAGTAAGGAGATCACTCACTGTTTTCCTGCAGTGCTCAGGGAATGGGGCCCTAACTCAGTGTATCCTTCATCTGCCAGGAGCCCCACATTTTACCTACTGGATACCTTCCAGGAAACTGGATGTGCTCTATGTTACTTTTTACAAGAACAGCAGAAAGCTTTCTCAAATGTAGTAACATCCTATTTTAATAAATCCAAAAGTCATTTTTAATAAAGTCAGCTTCCAAAAAACTATCAAAGTAAGTGCTAACCATTTTTTGAAGAAAATCGGCATACATTTATACAGAGTATTTTGGAAAGTTCTACATTTTGAAGAGCTTCCCTAAATTTGAATCACCCCAGTGAGAAAAATAGAATGATGTGGTCAGTGACACAACACAGTTAGCCATTTGTAACGTGTTCATTGCATTAAGCTTTAGCCTGTGGATAACCAGCTCTTTTTAAAGCAGATCTAAACAACATCTTGCAGACTACTTATATTCTGATGTGTCTCCTTGCAGATAATCATTCAAAGCCAATGGAAATCGACGGGGATGTTGAAATTCCTCCTAACAAAGCAACAGTCCTTCGGGGCCATGAATCAGAGGTGTTCATCTGTGCCTGGAACCCTGTCAGTGACCTGCTGGCGTCTGGGTAAGAGCGGGACTGAAAGCAGCTGCTGCAGCTGGGGCTTATGTAGAGAGCAGGGACACGGGAGCTGGTGCTAGGGATTAACGAGGCTTCGTAACGAGGGCCCCACCTGTGGATGCCAAGCACTTCCACGTGGAAGATGGGCCAGGTTCACATACCTGGAGTGTGCTCGGCTGCCCTCAATGCACACAACAGCATTTTAAATGCTTTAAAATAATTGTGGAAAAAAATCTCAAAATAGTAGAACATCACGTAACTTGTTTCTGGTCTTCTTACTCCGTGGTGAACACTTGGGCTTCAGAAAGTCATTGTCATAAAACCTTTATTTAAATAAGTATCAAAAGTCTTCAGAGTTGTCTTTGGCTTATACCTGCATCAGCATGGTATAACCCACCAGGAACAGGCCTGCAGAGCAAAACCGCTGTGTGAGGGCTTTATGTCCCAGTGCTTGTATTGAGGAGGGGGATTTTCAGACTAGACCTAGTTTTGTCATATAAAATGAACGTTTGAGAGTGGTTTGAGGACATACTTTGATTTAATTTTGTTGAAAAGAATTTCCTCCAGTTTTTGCTCTCTAAGGCTGCCCTGCATTGAGAACCAGCATGGTAAGTGGGACCATCAGGAGATTCACTTTCAAAGCACACTCCTGACCCTAACTAAAATGCTAATGTAGACATACTTATAGGAGCTGTATTGAGACACTGTCAAAACGTGACACTGCATTTGTCCCTACTTAAACATTAAAATGAAGGCTAAAATTGAAGAGAGCATGTCCATGTTCCCAAGGTCTGCAAGATCATCAGTCAGCATAGTCTTCTTCTAAATTAGTGACTGACCTCATACATGAAAATGAGAAATTAGAGTGCAAATAGGAAAGAATAAATGAGAAAAACAAAAGTCATTGACAGAAATAAATGCAACTTGTGTAGAAACGCAAGATCTCTAAGAAAGAAAAGACAGCAGTCTGTTGAAGATGAGTAATTTCTGACAGCGTTAGATTTTTAGAAAAGAAGATAGCTCTAAATATCCTTTTTTATTAGGAAATGTGCAGTGCAATAGTACTTTTAGAATCTATAACACTAGATATCTTTGCATATTCATTTTAAATGAGCAGCAGAAATTGCAAAACTGCATATAGGGTTTTTTTTTTGATGAAATTTGATGAAATACTTTGGTGGTCATCTCTCTCTATTTTTTCCCCCATTAGCTGCTATTAGCTTCCTTTAGTTTTCCATTAGCTTCCATTTTTTCCATAGGCTTAATGGCCTTCGGATGGGGCTATTGGTGATACCATGATTCAGGAAAGCAATTGTAATAACAGACATACTCTTACACCTTGTATTTGCAGTGCTTTCTGCTCAACATGTGCCTCTAGCCATTCAGCCTTCCAGTGTCTCAGGCAGTGATACTGTGCAGGATTACTGATGCCTAGCAAAGATCAACCCAAATGACTATTATTAAGAGCATAAGAAGGGACCTCCTGGTCATGAAGGAGGCAAGACTAAATTATTTCATATGGATAGATTTCTTCCAAGAACATAATTGAGAGAGCTATACAAGGAGATTTATATCATGTATAAATCAAAAAGGTTTTGTGATCTGATCTTTCACATCTGAAAGAACTGTGGCATATGATATCTTACGAGGAAAGACTAAGCGAGCTGGGCCTGCTAAGGCTAGAGAAGAGAAGGCTGAGTGTGGATCTCATCAGTATGTATAAATACCTGAAGGGTGAATGCAAGGAGGAAGGGGACAAACTCTTCTCAGTGGTGGCCAGTGACAGGACAAGGGCTAATGGGTGTAAGCTGAAACACAGGCAGTTCCATCTCCAGGTGAGGAGGAACTTCTTCACTGTGAGGGTGACAGAGCCCTGGAAGAGGCTGTCCAGGGAGGCTGTGGAGTCTCCTTCTCTGGAGATCTTCCAAATCCATCAGCCTGGATGCCGCCCTGTGCCCCGTGCTCTGGGTGTCCCTGCTGGAGCAGGGGGGTTGGACTGGATGATCTCTAGAGGCCCATTCCAACCTTAACTATTCTGTGATATGATACTCCTGGTACAAATCTGAATGGATGTCTCAAAGAAAAAACAAGAAAGAAAAAAAAAAAAAAAAGGATGGTAAAGAATCTGTGACATTAATGAAAAGCTACTGCCTACATAATGATTTGCAAATCAGCAGCTAGTGATCCTGAACTGACTTGGTCCTGTACCATTCATTTAATTCAGTATATGTCTAAATGCTGTGATTATACATAGGTAATCATGACATAATAGTAAAGGAACTCCCACAGATTAAGAGGTGAGAATGTAATTAACCATAATAAATTGTTTTTGTGGCAAGTACTTCCTAAAGATGAAAATTTAGAGCAAATTTCATAAAAACCTGGAATAGCTTCCAGGAGCACAGGCAAATTGATGTAGAAGATTCGATGTCTGTCTTGAGAACTGTTATCTTAACCCCTTTGTTTAGGATCATTCAAATCAAGGGACTGGATATGCTGATCCAATACCTCTCCTGAGACCCTGTCATCCTAAAAAATCTATTTTCACCCATCATGGTATTTATTTGAGTTCTAAGGAAGATGGTCTTCAGGTGACCAGTCAGCACAAACACGTTATTTACAGGAAAATCCATGGGGAGGTAGGATACCATATAGAATTACTCTTTAGGGCCTTTTGGTGGTGCCTGAGATGAAGGGAAGAATCCTGCTTTGTTCTGGAGAGGGTCTGCCCAGCTGATCTTAGACATCTACTCAAGTGCTGTGTCCATCTGCAGGTACCTATGTTGCTCAACTCATCCTGCAAGGAACTAAGGCTCCCAAATAGAGGTGTTCAGACCTCATCGATCAGCGTTAGCATTGATGACTGCCCCTACCCAATCCTACTCTTTCTTTGCCAGTACCTGCCATTCCTGTGTCTCACAGCCCTAGTGTTCGTGGTTTAAACCGTGCAGTATCTGATAAACCAGAGTATGTCCTGCAGTGACTGAGGACCCGAGCACTGTTACACTGCCACAGGGTGCTGAGCAACAGCAGATGGATGGACCAAAGAGCAGAGGACACTGATACCTGAAACAGCTTCAGCTAAACCTGGAGAATGGCAGCCCAGACTATTAGTCAGATGCCTCTCGTTCTGTCTCATCATCCCTTCCATTTGCCTTTGCCCTTCAGAGTTATGGGTCTTTACTGATAAGTTTTGCTACTGATTTTGGAAGCATTTTGGAAGCACACCTGGCTGGAAAGTACATTCTGATACTGATTCTCATGCAGACTGATGGCAATGCAATAAAAATACAAATAGTTTACGTTCATGCACTCCCTGAGCATATTTGAGCTTGCTCACAAGAAACAAAGCATGAGAATTCAGTTAGCCTTCAGATAATGCAGCAATGAGTACCTTATAAAACCTACACGATTGAAATGGCATCAAACACACAGGAAAAAGAAAGCAAATAAAGACATGGTTTCATTGTGCCATTGCACACAAAAAAAAAGTGTTTGAGAAGTCTAGTATAACGGTAACAAGTATCGTATATGGGTAAAGTGAGTATTACAGCACCAATTAAATGAGGGGAAAAAGTCTCTGAGCTCTTGAACATGCTACAGTTCTGTTTGTCCCTTACAAATAAATGCTTCCAGAATGAAAACTGAGGTTAATCTGATGTGCCAGTCCTGAACTGTTTGTATTCTCTAATAGCCATATTCTGCCCAGGCCTAAGTTTTCCTTTTAGCTTTCCTACCTGCCAGACTATCCATCTGCTATCCTTTAAGAAATACATATATCTAAAAGCTATTAGATAACTGAAATAACACATTTCTTCTATCTGTTGTGCCTGCTCTGTCAAATACAATGGACCTCTATATATAACACACATTTTCTTCAAACAATATGTTATAAAACTAGTAAGTTTCTCTAACTATTAGTGCTTTAGAAGGCATTCTGATGTAATCTTCAAAACTAGAAGAGTTTAAGGTCTAGTCCAAAACAAACTGTACGCGGGGATTAGTTTGCAGAATAAATTATCTGAAACTAGAGCATGAGTTTCCAAATGTTGTGGTATCCCACTGAGAAGGGGCATTTGGTGTTGGGTGTTCCATCCACTCATTCACAAAACCTATTCAAGGTGTAGAGGCCCACACAGCAATGCATACTCTCTGGGTTTTACAAAGGGCTGTTGAAAAGTGAGGAGGAGAACCTCTCTGATAAAATAGTCAGAAGCAGTACATACTGTTACATACTGTCATGCTCTACATGCTTCTCTTTCCTCTTCCACCGCGCCTTAAAGGAGAAGATGAGAGACTAGAGACATCAGTAAAGCCTATCGAAGGCTTGAGTGTTACTGGATGCTTATGAGAAGGATGCTTAGATATCATGAAATGAAGTATTATAATAGTATAATACATAGTACATACAGATATGTAAGAGGATTAATTATCCATCACGAAACAAATCAATATTTCAAAACAAATAACTGCATGAAATATTTTGGACATGTAAAATAAAATGATGGATGGCCAAATCTCAGCTACCCCCAAAATAGTTCTGAATCTTCTATATAGTTCTCAATCTTCTCTGCAAATACTGCCTTCTTTCATGAAATATCTTTGACTATCTATGTTTTAATTTTATGACATATGTAAATTATTCCGGGACGTTACGTTCCGTGGATGACCCTGACAGAGAGAGTGCAAGTTCACACGTAGCAAATTCTGCCCAGGATTTGCCAGCATATGTGGTCCTGGTCCACTACCCAAGGATGCTTATGAGCATACTTGAAGTTCTTAGCATTGAAATAGACTGTGAATGCCAGCGTTGTGAGAGCCTTGGACTCCAGAAGGTTTTCTAGCTAAAATGAGGATGCTTCTGTCTACACATCCAGCTGCTGCTTCCAGGAACATGCTCTGTTCTGTTGCCTCCAGCCACGTCCTTCAAGCAACCTCGTAGCCTCTGAGCTAGAGGGCCTGGCATCATTCCCAGCACTGAGCAGTAGGTTTCTTTGCTCGTCCTTGCTGATCTATGCCTGCCTCTTTCACAGTGAGGGAAAACTTCCTCTTTTCCAGAGCTCCATGGGCACTTTAGCTCTTATTACTCAATGAAATAATTACCAGTAAAAGCCATTATTTACAAAGTTTTAGGATTATGATCATATGTCTCAGAAGCAAGAAAAGATGTTTCTAGGTCGCCTTCTGCCATCAGCTCTAAGTTGTATATAATGCCTTCAATTACCATATTCCTCATACCATTTTTTTAGGGACGGTTTTGACATATCCATGCTTGTTATTGCAGATTTCAGACTCCTGAAATAGTGCCAGGTGTGATTTCTGCTAACTGCAAGGGCTGATTTATTTGCAGGTGAATTTATTGAAGCCTGTTCCTTCTTTGCACCAAATCCATAACACAAAATGGTCGTCCATTAGGTGAGATGTGTTTGAATAGGCAGTACTGTAGGATCAGCGCAGACCGAGAGCCTTCTGCCAAAGCGTAGGCACTAAAATCTTCCTCTGGATACCTCCAGCATCCCTCCCGCTGCTGACTGCACAGGAGTGAGCACTGATTTTGAGTGAGGAGATGTGAGCACTGATTTTGAGAGACCTGCCACATTAGCAGGAAGTGAGTTGCATAAATTAGGAGAAGGGCTTCATTCCCTTTTTGCCTTTAATGATTGCTTTCAAAATAAAATAATACAAAAGTCAAAGCTATTTAAGCCAGAAGTGCTTACAACTCACATTGTAGTAATATTGCAGTAAATAGAATACTTGAAATGGAAGATGGGGCATCATGAGAAAAAACAGTCATCTTGCAAATCCCTTTACACAATTGCAGCGATTTTAACCTCTGTGCTGACAGTTATGGAATGGGAATTTTAAATGTGGCGAATAAAATTCTGCAAGCGTTTGTCCACCTGGATTCATGATTCCATGCAGCTGAAGAGCATGAAATAAAATTATTTCAGAACGAAGCCTTCCTGAAATTTGGCAGTGCTCCACACTAGTTGAGAAAAGTGCACCTATTACTCAAGCGTTCATGACTTGCATGTTGGAATCAGCTGCTTTATCATGCAGATAGAAATGCTCCGGCAGGCTGAGGAGATTAAATATCTTTCTGAATTGTGCTTGAACTGCGGTCCTCTAACAACGCAGGGTTCACTGAATCATTCAGCAGAAATCAGAATACTTTCCAGAGCAAAGAAAACTTCCCCCCACCACCACCCACCCCAGCAACAAAAGGGCAGACACACAAATACCCCTGCATCACATCACACACTGATGGGCTTATAAAGCCTCTCTGCAGGGACACATAATAGCTTATGTAGCCTCGGGAGGAAGAAAATGGAAAAACAAAATTAAAATACTGGAAAATAAGATTGTCCAAGCACAGCTAGAATACTGACTAAATAAAACGGTTGAAAAACAAAACATGACCCTTTTAGAACTAGCAAATACCGAGTTGTTGTTTGATAGCCAAGAGCTGAGTGTTTTATTCAAAGGGTCCAATAACAACCTGGGCTATCACAATGAGGGCAGGCCTGGCTCAGAGTCTGCTCCAACAGAGAAGCCAGCACCAAAGGAATTTCCTAGCTGGCTGGCATGTTAACCCAGAGCCCAGACGTATAAAAGGCTTGTGTTCCCATTATTATAAACTACCACAAATGAAAATGTTCCTTAACTTCTAATTTGCTAGCTAATATGTGCAAAATTGTTGCTCAGTTTTCTGTATCTGTAAAAATAAAGCATTGCATTGAATCATGCAGTCACAGCATGAAGGCGAAAATTATCCTTGCATAAATCATTTCTGTTTCTCTAGGGTAAAATGCCAAAAATGAAAGAAGGGTCACAGAGCAATAGGCTGTGGTTAGGCAAAGCCCTGGCCACCCCTGCCTTCTCATCTGGGCATTGAGGCTTCACAGGAGGCACCTGCCCCATGCATGTGATGAGCCCAGAGAGTTCTGAGCCACTGGTGCAGGTGAAGGTTGAACCATTTGTTCAACCCATTTGAACCAGGTTTTTTTTGTGTGTAAAATCTGGCTAAGTTCTAGGTAGAATATTTGCAGTGGGGATAATCTAGAAATATACAAAAATCAATGAAGTTTGGCATTTGAAAAGTGTGAAGTTTTTCATTTTTTCCTGGAATTTTTAATATCAAGAAGTAAAACATTTTATTAGTAGATCAGATGAAAATTTTAAATTCTCTTGTGAAAGATTTCCTGTTCAGTAAAATATGGGTTATCAAAGCAAAAATGGATGTCAGTAGTTTCATCTCAGAAGAAACACCTTCTCTCCTCGCTAGTCTATGGGAATGGGAGTTTTAACCAATACTTAGGAAAGATGGGGAAAGGTAACACATGAGGTGTATAGACATTGAAATTTCATGTGGACTGCATGAATTCTAGGAATCTTAAGTGAGATCCTAATTCTGATCCAAGAACGTTTCTGTTTACTGTGTGCAAATGAAAACAACTGTCTGGACAAAACAAGCAATCCTTTGTACAAGTAGTTTTATTGATTGTTTAAAAAAATAAGTTTGGCAGGGGGGAGATGAGACACAAATCCCAACAAATTGGAAATTCCACTTTGCTGATCTGTGTCCTCAGAGACATTTTTCATTGGAATAAAGCCTAATGAAAACTGAAAATAAATATCTGATTTATAAGATTATGATAATCTCTTCACATACTCCTCACAACTTTATGTAGAACATCAGAATTTTAGTCTGCAATAAAAACATCTTCTTAGAAATTATTGGGTCTATAGAACAAATTGAAATCCTAATGCTGTCTGTCTTGCAGTCTGATGCTCTTATATCAGTTGTTATTTGCCACTTCTTTTTGGACAACATGAGCTAAGCAGCAAAACTCCAACCAGCATAGGACTCCGTGGACAAGACAAAAAGTGAATTAAATTACCTTTTTATTTTCCTGACCTTTAGGTTCCGTGGTTGGATTTAATTTTTGTAATGTAAAGTTCCCTGGGATCATCTCAATTACACTGCTGTGTCTTATGTAGCAAGTAGAAAGTGTAGAGCACAAGCAAATATCTTCTGGGTAAAACTATTCTCAACAAAGCAAATGATGCTTTAAGATGTGTATTTAAATTATATTTGTGATTTAAACATATGTTAGCATAATAAAATTAAGTTTTCCAGTATAGGAACTGTAGGAAAGACAGAATTGGAAAGAAGAGTTTCACTTTTAAGCCTGTCATGAGATGTTCTTTCAATCAAAAGTTTAATTGCAAGTTTGTTGGGTGAATTCAATGAGAAATGTTCATATTTCCACGTTTGCTTTTATAGATCAGGAGACTCAACGGCCAGGATATGGAATCTCAATGAAAACAGCAACAGTGGTTCCACTCAACTAGTTCTGAGGCACTGTATAAGAGAAGGAGGACATGATGTCCCCAGCAATAAGGATGTGACTTCACTGGACTGGAATGTAAGTTAGCTTCTGAGACTGGCCATGGTTTTTAACTGCCTAAATTTAATTCAGAGGCAATTGCAGCTCCTGCTCCCTGTTTTTTATATCTGAGGTGACCAGAACTTCTGTCCTAACCTACTGACCTCTGGGTGAAAATATTCATAATAGACTGAACTTTCCCTTGTACACTCTAATTTTCCAGAACTCTCGCCAGCTTCAAGTTTAATATTGATGTATTTATGTGTCTGCTTTTAGGAGCAAGAGTAAAAATAGCTAACTTCACAGATGAAGATTAAGCAAGCCATTTATGAACTAATGAAGTCTGATTAATTGTACAGCTACATCTCATGGTTAATTTATTTTATTATATGAGGAGGTGTAAGTTCCAGTGAAGCTTTTCTGAGGTGGGAATTTATGGAGACCTCCTTCTCTTTGAAAACTGTGGTGCATAACAAAACATGCTCACATTATAGTCTTCCTTTTGGTAAGAGCATATGTAGTCATTCTCTTTCTTACCTGAGTTGTCTTCCCTGATTTCTTATTTATTTTTATCACAGAATCACAGAATATTTAAGGTTGGAAGGGACCTCTAGAGTTCATCTAGTCCAACCTTCCTGCTCAAGCAGGCACACCTAGAGCATGTGGCACAGGGTGGCATCCAGGCGGGTTTTGAAGACCTCCAGAGTAGGAGACTCCACAGCCTCCCTGGGCAGCCTGTTC